GGTGGAAGAGAGCGGGGCAAAGCCAGATTTCCTTAGTCAGGAGTCCACCACGACCCCACCTTTCATCCTGGGCGCACTTGGCCTACTAAGAAGTAGGGCAGCACACTGGAGTCTCTCTGGCCAATGGAATAACTTAAACTTTATTTCTGAAACTTGATTAGTGTGTATATATTTTAGAGACTTTTTCCCTCTAGTTAGCCAGCATGCTATCTATTCCTTGCTTCTAAGGGAATGTTTGCTCTGTTCCTTGAGAATTGACTGTTCCCTACCAAGATTTGGTGCAGTGAGGCAGGAGAGCTGAGGGAGCACAGGCACAAGGGGCATGAACTAGACGTAAAAGCAGGAAGCCTGCTACATAGCAGGGGCTCCGCGTTGCTCAGAAACCCAGCAGATCTCCTGGAGCTGCTGCGGAGCTGCAGAACGCTGCCCAGATGCAAGGCTTGGCTGTTGTTTGCCCCGCTCCAAGTCCAGAAACCAGCAAGCGACTTGGGTAACTACCTCCCCTCCCTGTAGAATGCTTTGTAACCCTCTGAGGCCATAGCAGAGTTGGGCTTTGTTCCCACAGGTCCAGGTTGCTCTTTAGGATGGGGGGGGGGGTAATAATAGTTCTGAACCTACAGTGGTGGTGTCTCACGAAAGGGGTAGTGCTGAGAATACCGAGGTCCGTGTTGCTCTGCACGTCCTTTCTGTCTTGTCATTTTGAAAGCCAGGTTTCACCAAAGTTGTTTAAAACTTTAAGCTCCTTTAGCCAAACTCAGGAAGCCGTTGTGAGGAGCTCTGCCTTCAGTCTGATGATCCTGCGGGGACCAGCACCTGTCTGGACTCTTTAAGAGCAAAATGTGCTGTGACGTGTGTCTTGTTTCTCCCCTGTCCTCCTCCTCCCTCACGCTGGTCCTTTTCAGAACTGATGTCGTGATACAAAGGATGGGGAGGTGGCGGCAGCTGAAAATGCACCAAGAGAGGTCACGGACGTGTTTCTTTTTAAACCCCCCTTCCCAGATTTTGTTGTTCATCAGACGCTGCCCTACCAGTCAGTTTCGGTGGACACGTTCAACTCCAAGAACGACGTGTACGTGGCCATCGCCCAGCCCAGCATGGAGAACTGCATGGTGCTGGAGTGGGACCACATCGAGATGAATTTCCGGAGCTACGACAACATCACAGGTGCGCTGTGGCTTTGCTCAGACGTGCTGACCTGGCGTCAGTTCTGCCGAAAGCCTGTGAGGGGAACACGCTCTCTGTCACGTCCAGAGGAAGCTGGGCTCTCTGCCTTGGTTAGGTTGGGAACATGTCCCCGCCCACCCTCATGGCCTGTCCAGTTTCTTGGCGTGATCATTTGTCAGTGACAGCAGACACCTCGGGTGGTGAGCCTATTTATTGATCCTGCTTATTATTAGTGATCCTTTTGGAAAAGCAGAGGATGATGGGTTTTGTGTGGTGGGAGGCATTTTCTAGGAGCAGTGAGAAGTCTCCCTGAGAAGCCCTTTTCTTGAGTAGCGTAAGACCACACCAGCTTTGTAACAGCGAAATGAAACTGATTGTTAACTAATGTGCTAACACACACACACACACACATGCACACACTCTATAGCTTATTCCTAGTGCCCCCTCTCAAGGTCCTAGCGATCCCTGCTTTCTTTCACTAGGTACCTACAAAACTGGGATAACTAGATCGTTAGTTCAGGCATTTGGGATGATTAGTTAATGCCGTCATGGGTCCCCAGTGCCTGAGTGCTACGAAAAAATGGTCAGGCTACTTGCTTTTTAAATAAGTGGACAAAATCAAAAGAATCTTTCAAAGACTTCTCATTTGCCCAACGACAATCTGAAAATGGTACCAGCTTTATGAACAGTGCCACGAAAGCCAGGTTATCACCCTGGGAGAGGGTTTCCTAGAGGTTCCCAGTGTGACTTCTGAGCAGCATTTGACGGCTGGAGGGAGGGGGCATATCCAGGTGGGGCTGGGAGGCCCCCAGGCGCACAGTGGCTGCCACAGGTGCCTGGGAAGCAGGGCAGGGGTCATCCACTCCTGGGGGAGAAGAGCTGCTATTGAGGCGAATCTGACAGTGCTGGGTGCACAACCAGATGCTCTGAAGCTGCCAGTTCAGATGAGCCAGCGCCCTTGGCCCATCTGGCGTCCTGGTGCTGAGTTCACCACCCTAGAGCAGCCCTCTCGGAAGTGCCGACTCAGTGCTGAGTGGCACAGTGAACCTGCAGGGGAAGCCAAGGAAAAGTGGGGTGACCTCTCTCACCCCAGAGCACAAAGAGGACCCATGTGCTCACCTCTTTCCGACTGGGAAGTTAGGGGAGGGATGGCCAAGCTGGCCGTCCTTCTGGTGGGGGCAGAGTGATGCTCGGCTCATATGGAAGGAGTTCCAATGCCCATGTTGGCCGTGGGCCTGCGAGGTGCCAGGCTCTGGTTCACCTCATTGCAAACTCTCAATAGTCCCTTGGGCACTGACTGTGTGTCGCCTGCCCATAGGGAGAGGAGAAAAGTGTTGTTCTCCAAAGAGGTAACTTGTGTGCCGTAAAGAGCTCAGGTTTTGAAAATTGGTGAACACGGATTGTACTCAGGACTCTGCCGTGGACTAGGATGTCCCTGTAACCCTCACGCTTGGCTTCCTCGTCTGTAAAATGGGGAGTAGATGTGTCTGGCGTGGACGCCAGGAGGGGTCAGTGAGTGCTGGGAACAGAGCTAGCATTTCTTGAAGGCAGTGCCCCCCTCATATCCTTACCAATGACATGGTCGAGGCTCAAGTGTGTCCAGTCACTTGACTCCCATGCTGTGAATATTTCCTATGTCACTGAATCTTCAACCACTTGATTTTTTTCTACCGCACAGTATTCATGCACAGCTGTACCATATTTTAACTAGTCCCCTACTATTGGACAATGCAGTTATTTCTAGTTTTTCCTTATTGTTAAATAACATGTTTTGATCCCATCTGGCAGCGTTCTCAACTTGTTGGAGCAAATGTGATACATATTTTTAAGGCTTGTGAGTTTTACCTGCCAAACTGTCTACTCAGGGGAAGAGCCTGGGGTCTTCCGTGGCAACACCCCACTTCTTCCTGCTCCCAGGTTGACCTTGGTAGGCTACCACTGCCCCCCACCTTTGTACTACAGCTGGTGGCCTCCCCAAATTCATTCACTCACTCATTTATT